ATGTGAGCAGGGCAGCTTGAGCACCCATGCTCAGGAACAGTAGGGTAACTTGGGCGTGGGTGCTAAGCGAAGGATTCCTATATAGATTCCGCTACCATATTTTAAGGGGGGTGGGGATTGGATCTCCGACCACCTACACTTACTAAGCGAAACGCAGAAGTAAACTTCTACTTCACGCTGGTATTCTGTGAGGTCGTGATACTACCCTGGTTCGAGCTGGCCCATCGATGCGACAGCAAAAGCTGCCGCGTGGCTCTACCATTGTTAAAGCGTAAACATGGAATAAGTTCTATTTACTTTTTATCTGCCCATCATAAATAAACAACCGATACACTAGAATAAATTATTTTCTTCGTTATGAGGCAAGTCCAGTCTTAACGAATAAACCAAACACAATACCTGCCTTTCTATCTTCAAAACTTCTCTAATTCTTTCACGTTTATCGTAAACGACAAAACCCCACTAGACACCCTGATCGCGACTGAAAAAACGTATGGCTTAAAGGCACATAATTGATGATAACCATGCCTGCATGCGGCGATGCCGCATAAGCTGAGGTGCTTCAACACGAATCTACCTGTCCTATTCATAACTGCCTTTACGTTTTACGGAATTAACCGGTTAATTTGGGTGTCAAAACCTTTACGTAACCGGTAACCTTTATCGTTTAGCTTTATTAAAAACCGGTTAATTTTTAAACCGGTAATTGAAGGAGCGATAAATTTACCGGTAATTAATCGAAATTAACCGCTCTTTTTAAACCGGTTCCGAGCCCTGCCATCGACCCCAACTAGGGAAAACAAGATACAGTATTACATATCGTAATCAAGATAATTTAGAAAATACCGGCTTGTACAGTGGTAATATATAGTTTTTGAGAAACATTTGAAAATAAATTGCCTTCCGATCATCGATCACTAATAAAAAAACTAGATACACAATCAGTGACATAAAATGTCCTTACTGAATGAGCGCCCACTTGAACATTTGGGTGCGCTTTTAATCTAGTAGCATTCGAATACTCCGACAGTAAACATGCCTCGGTGTTTGTTTAAAAAGTGTAAAAATCACACATCTAGGACGCTAAAAAGATGGAAATTCTTATTTTCGGTAAGTATTAATATTATCATTATTTAATTGTTATCGCTGTATTGTAAATACTAATATTTTGTCAAGAAATAATCGTAAAAACATTTTTTTTTTTAAATTAAATCGTAATAAAATTTATTCCTTGTCCAAGCGACGAGCCTCAGTCGTAAAATTTAATTGCTTTTTATTGGCACTTTGTAGTTCTGAATTTAAAACATGCGTTTCAGGTTGAATTTGTTTTGATATAGGAGTTGACCAGCGAGTATCGGTTATAAAAATTTATTGCTCTTTGTACGTAGCTGTGAGAATACAACTTAGGCAATGTATTTAAGGTTGAATTTACATTAATGTATATTTATTTCAACTAGAATAACGTTAAAACATTTGGCGCCAGTTTTTAGAGGACTAGCATGGGATTGCGTAATGCTGGGGCCACAGTAACGAGAAACGTCAATGCCCAAAAACGCAACAATTATTGCCTTAATTTTAACGCGATAAACTGAGTGGCCACACTTGGGTCGGTCAACGTCATTTCAATATCAATGCTGTTGAACGGCGTTAAAGTAAACTGACCATTTATTTATTAACTCAAAACGGGACTTGGTTTTATTTATACTCCCCAGTTAGCAGGTTAACAATAAAAAAAAATATAATGTTATTTATTAAACTGTAACTTTATACAATTAGTGTTCACTATAATTATAATCACATTAATTATAATTATTTTTATTTTAACAAATTGTGAAAGATAAAAATTAATCACCAGTTCACCAGCTTCATTAAAGCAAAGTTCCTCAGACAGTAATTATTAAATGCAACATATTTTTTTAATTATATTTATATTTGTCAGTGGAACAAATTTGCTTTAATAAAGTTGGTGATGATTTTAAACAAGGGCAAGTTTTTTTAACATTGATTTTTGTTATCAACATCGCCTTTAGAACTGGAAACTGTAAGTGATTTTTTTTTCAGACGTCCACAATTTATTCATAATAGAAAAATACTTTTTCTACTGGAGTATTTGTACCAGGTATACATAAAATATATTCGATTAAAATGCAAGAGAATTTATGTTGAGAATGCAGAAATGTTTGAATCACCCAACGAATTTCTGCGAAAACTTTGAAATTATCCCATTCGGTTATTTTTTGGTCGGTCCCGCTCTCGCACCGTTCGTGTCTGACGAACTTCATAGTTTTAAATTTTCTCGCCGTTTAATATAACGGGACTATTTTGCGTTCCGGAGCTTTGTTTGGGGCAACGGGACAGATGACCGAGAAAAGGGACAGTCCCGTTCAAAACGGGACCTATAGTCACTTTACGTTAATATTCCTTGAATTTCAAGCAAGATGAACGTTGACGCTGCTACACTATGTTTGATGAGTGTAAATTTTTATAATATGAATATATTTTATCATTGCCCTGCATGGCTCTGTTTGCAGAATCTCAAGAAACGTAATAACTTTTTCATTATTCCACTCCATCGTAGCCATACGTGCGACTCCGTTGCGCTCACTGTACACAATGAGACAAACCTAGTGTGACCGCTTCAACGCGTTAATTCGTGCGTTAATCTCTTTGATGTACCGACACTCGAGTTATCGTTCAACGGGAAACGGCATTGTTCTTGCCATTGTAGAATTATCGCGTTAAGTAGTGGCCACACCTACATTCAACGCCCATCAACGCGATAATTAACGGCATTTCTCGTTAGTGTAGCCCGGGCATAACTAGTTTTTTTTATTAGTGATCGATGCTTCTGATACAAAATAATTGACACATGCAAAATTCTTATTTAGAGACATGAATGCAAATAATAACATTGATGAAACATGGCTAAACACCAACCTCACTGTGCCGGAGACATGAACATACGAAACGTGGCCGTTGGAAAAAGTGGGCGCTTCATAATTTGCCATGTGGGATCCATCGGAGGAGGATTTGTAGAAAATACAACTATTACACAAGGGATGACTGCGCAAATGTGATGGAGAAAACAAAGAGAAATCAAGCAATACCTAATTAATGTAAACTACGGCGATGACGACCACAGCTCAACTAGTTGTAGTGAAGTTGATTAAATCAATTTTTAATCTAGTGCAGTATTTAATTTATAAAACTATATCTCTAAATATTAGTAGTAAGCAAGGCTTAGCTTTCCATTTACTCCCATCGAGTTGACGGTTGATACGTATTTTTACAGAAAAGTTACACTATTATAAGCACACACACAAAGTTACAATATGCGGAAGCGCGTAATTTTTGAGAAAAAAGTTATTGAAAATCAATTGTTCTTGCATTGTTTATATCTAATTCTACCATAAAATAGACGCCATTTTGTAATGTCATTGTCGTCAGTAGGGATGTCAATTCTTTCCGAAAAAGTCGATTTTTAAATCGATTCAAATCGTAAGCTGATGTATCGATTCACAAAAAATCGATTTCTAAAATATCTATTTTTTTTTATGTTTGCATTTATAATGTAAATATAATTCCATTTTATGAAAAACAAGAAAGATACCATAATAAATGATCTCTTATTGAAATTTGTTTTATTTCAACAGTACCAATTAGGGCAGATAACAAATAAAATAGGTTAGGTTCAACTTATGTCAAAGAACCGAATTGATTGACCCCGACTCCACCTGGTACGAGTCTGTCCTACCCCTAGAGTGGTTTTATAGAGCCGGAGGCGCGTAGGGGGAGCAGCCTCCGCCTGCTGTAACAAATGGGCCTGCTGTAAAAAAGCGGAGGCGAGGAGGGATGCCTGCGAATGTTACGCTAAGGCGTAGAAGCTGCTCTTCCCGCAGCGCCGGAGACGTAGCAGTTTCAAAATAGATACAGAAATCCTTCTGAAGCAGTCCCCCTATATTTTATAATGAAGGGAACTTTTTTCTCATAAAATGGATTTATATTTACATTATAAATGCAAACATGAAAAAATATAGATATTTTAGAAATCGAGTTTTTGGGAATCGATACATCAGCTTACAATTCGAATCTATTTAAAAAATCGATATTTTTCGGAAAGAATCGACATCCCTACTGACAATGACAATAAAAAAATGGCGTCAGTTTTATTGTATGACTAGCTGTTCCCCGCGACTTCGTTCGCGTGTTAGTGTTTTTATGTTTCTGCGCGGAACCCTGATTCTTTTTCTAAAATAAAAGTAGCCTATGTTACTCCTTATGAAATCAGCTATCTGCCAGTGAAAGTCCCGTCAAAATCGGTCCAGCCGTTTCGGAGTTTACCCGGAACAAACAGACAGACAGACAGACAGACAAAAATTTTAAAAATTGTATTTTAGTTATAGGTATCGTATTTACTTTCATATGCATTTAGTAAAAAACTGTAATTTTGACATTACAAACAGACAGACATTACAACATTCAATTTTATTTATTTGTATATATATATATATAGATGTATAGATTAGACATAAACAATGTAAGAATAATTGATTTTCAATAACTTTTTTCTCAAAAATTACGCGCTTCCGCATATTGTAACTTTGTGTGTGTGCTTATAATAGTGTAACTTTTCTGTAAAAATACGTATCAACCCCCAACTCGATGGGAGTAAATGGAAAGTCGTACCTGATTACGACCTCTAAAGAATCGATATCAATTTCTCTTAAGAATTGAATATTGTAGGTACCGATTTTTCAATTGAATGTCTAGCCCTAGTCCAATAAAATAATCTAGACTATAGACAGCTCACAGCTGTCAACATAGATTACTGTATATATCACAGAACAGAACACTATTACTCCTACGGAGGTATATACGTACATATACTAGAGAGCTAATTAGATTATAAATTAGATTTGTTGTGCATATAAGTATACATATTTTATCACAAGTGTATAAAAAGACAATTAATTAAGGCGTGAAGAACATAGTTATAAGAAATGTTTAACAAATTTAGATTATTGTTCGTTTTTTCGATTTCATTAATTTCTTTAAATTGTGCGCCAAACAGACCTATAGTAATAACAACATGGAATTTCGTTAATTCAACCATTTCTGGTAAAAAATGTTGAATAAATTTAGCTCTCATTCCTTTGTCACATCGAAAATTCTATTGTTTTATTCGTACATTTTTCTTAAAGCTTGGGAAGTCTTAAAAGGTGGCGGTACAGCATTAGACGCCATAGAGATTGGTGCTTCAGTTTGTGAAGATCAACAATGTGATGGAACAGTGGGGTATGGGGGAAGTCCAGATGAAGATGGTGAGACAACTTTGGATGCATTAATTATGGATGGGTATTTTTTCACATGTACTATTAAAATATCAATAATTTTATATTCTTTACCAAGTGTTCTAAACCCACTTTTTCTATCTAAGAATCATTCAGTTAGCACGTGTAAACCCAATATTGTGTACTAGTTTGAAGGATAGAATGCTATGAAGCTTGTTATCTTAGGGGTGACTATGTCAACACATTTCTTGCCATTTTTGTTTGAGAATTGATTAATTTCAGTGTCAATGACCTGTAGTGGCCACTTATCACCAGTTAGTTTGTAAGCTTGTTTGTTAAACTAATGTTAAAATAGATCTTGCGGTATATATAATGTGCGGTATATATATATACAATGATAAATTTTCATAACATCATCTTTTTATGTAATACTTTATTATTAATACTATTTTAAATAACATTAAATATTATTCTGATAAATGTTTTTTGACACCCAGGAGGACAATGAATGTAGGTGCTGTTGGTGCTCTTCGCAGAATAAAAAATGCAATAGGTGTTGCCAGACATATTTTGGAGAATACAAAGCATTCTATACTTGTTGGGAGTCAGGCAACACAGTTTGCAGTACAAATGGGATTTAATGAACAATCTCTAACAACCCTAGAATCTAAGAAGCTATGGACTACATGGGCAAATGAGCATAACTGCCAACCTAACTTCTGGATGGTAATAAATTGAAGTTTCTTAAATTTAAAACCCTTAAAATACACTATCTAAAATATGCAATAAATATAATAATATATTCACAGAATGTTAAACCAGATCCCAATAAGTATTGTGGACCATATCACCATGTTTATGATAAGAATGTGAAAATAAAAGGCAAATTACAACATAATATAAAGTTTGATAGATACAATCATGATACAATTGGCATGGTTGCAATAGATACAAATGGAGATATTGCTGCAGGTACATCAACAAATGGAGCCAAATATAAAATACCTGGGTAACAAAGTCGATTTCATTATGTTACATCTGTAGTATATACAGTGAAACCTGGATAACTGGGACCTTAAGGGACCTGCAAATTTATCTCACTTAAAGACGTATTACACTTACCCAGTGTCTCAGATATCCAGGTATAAATAAATATCTGTCTCATTTACAGAGGTTTTCATTAATTGAAGTGAGAATAGAGGTTATTTCAGATATAGAGGTGCAATTATTAAATAAAATAACGTATTTTGTAAACATAATACATAAACCTCCGGATGATAGCAAAATCAAACTAAAACTGGAGGTCACTTTTACACAATTAGCCAAGTGTGGAATTTGCGGGTAGGATAAGAATTAGTAAACAAAACGGTACACAAATTGCAGTCTCAGTAAAAGAGGTAAAATATACTTGCTGTCTCAATTATAGAGGTAATTATGATGAATAAAATCAAAAGAAATAATCCCTAAAATATAGTCTCAGTAAAAGAGGTAAAATACACTCACTGTCTCAATTATAGAGTATGTAAGAATATGAGAGAAACTGTGATGATGAACTTCACAAACATAGAGAGTAATGTCTGGAGTGATATAGGCTTTATTTTATCTATATAAAATATGGATCTTTCTAATTAATAATAATGTCTATCTTCTTAGTTTTGATGCAAATGCAAAATCAATCTTCAATTTGTTATATGCATTTTTCATATCAGACATAGTATTTGAGATGATTGCAGAAAACTGAGTTAAAAGTGGTTTTTACTTGCCGTAAGTAAGACCACCTGTTCCAAATGTTATTATATCCGATTAATTATTAATTAAGACTATGTCTGTCAGCTGACATCCATTTGGGTTAACGGAAAATATTATTTCTAATTGCTTAAAACAAATTTGATTGTTATTAACAATGTGCATTTTTAAAGATTAATTATTTGCATTCTAACTTTAGGATTAGCATTGAAAATTGTTACAGTTCACATTTAATATGTAAAAATGGTTTATTATTTGATTATATTAAAAATCGTCAATTATAAAGGCTAGTATTTTATGGGTTGAAAGGGATTTTAATTATTATATGTATAAGCAATTTTAGTTATAAACAGTGTGCATTAGCAAAAACTGCTTTTTTTCTGTCTTCATTGGCTACTACTCTGGAAAATTATCTAATGTCTTCTTAAATATTAATCAAAGTGTAGAGTAATGTTAACAATGATTGAGCTTCAATTTCATGGCACTTACTTTACAATTTTTTTACCATTGTCTCTACAAACCAAATAATTATCATAGATCTAAAGATAATGATTTCTTATATTTACACGAACACTACACATTAAATAAAACTATTTTTATGGATTTTATCGCGTTTAATTAACTTATTTTATATTCCCGACGTTTCGGTTGCTTTCCAGCAACCGTGGTCACGGGGGACTGAGTTGATTGACGACCTGATGTCAGAGTTAAACCGGAGTACCTTCAGCTTTTTTAATTAATAATTTTGGTCTGATTTATGCAGAATGAACTAACTATATCTTGAAGTCTTGCAGTGGTATGCTTGGGTTTATTATATTTTGGCAACATCGACTCCTGCCAAGGATGATACGTGAGGCTATTGAAATTAAAAAACATCCTATCCTAATTTCAACAGAGAGGGAGGCTGGGTACTACCACCTGCTTGGGATCCTGTAATTCATAAAATTAAAACTAAACCGAAGCATACCACTGCAAGACTTCAAGACAAAGTTAGTTCATTCTGCGTTGATCGGACCAAAATTATTAATTAAAAAAGCTGAAGGTACTCCGGTTTAACTCTGACATCGGGACATCAATCACCTCAATCTCCCGTGACCACGGTTGCTGGAAAGCAACCGAAACGTCGGGAATATAAAATAAGTTAATTAAACGCGATAAAATCCGTATAAATAGTTTTATTCAACAAGATCTAAAGATTTTTTATTTAAGTTCTATACAGAGGAAGTAGCGAGTAAAAGCTAGCTATAATACTATGGGCACTATTCTCTCTATTGTTATCTTACCATATGTGAGATAAATACTAATAGTGGGTCAACTCCTTTGTTATAATGCAAAATACCTGCAAATCTGTCTCGACCTCAAGTGGCTAAAAATATGCAAGGGTTGTCTGTCACAAAAACATTTCCGTAAATAATAATATCATACCATTATATTTTATAAGTATTCCTCGTAATAATTTATTATTCCAAACATAGATACACACTAATGACTACTTTATAAAACTAGTTGCGGTCCGCAGCCGCACGTGATTCGTCGTGATGGAAACAAAGGCTTGTTGTGTTGGTACCTACCTAATTTTACTATATAGCAGTATCACAGGTATTCTGCTTGAAATATGATAGAGGGTTGAACAGAATAAATAAAACATATTAATTTATATGTTGGTTCTGTTTATTAAACCGCCACATTATAGAGTTGTAACCTACAAAGGTCCCCCGAGTTGTGGCGGGTAAGAATACTCACTACCCCATATCTTCCCGTGGGTGTCGTAAAAGGCGACAGAGGGAAACTGAGGCAGAGGATGGGCAGCAGCATCTTTCTGATAACAGCAAAACAACAATAAAAAAAACTGCGGTTGCAAACCCGCATGAAAGTAACGAAGAGACGGCCCCCAGTTCCCGGCGGCCCCGCTATTCCTGGCTACGGTGGCGACCATGGTAACGGCGGGGCAGGGGGTGCTAAGAATCTCCGATGGAGGTTCGATTGCCACCTACGACGACTCGACCTGGCAACTTATAATACACGCACCCTGAGGACTGACGAGAAGATCCTGGAGCTGAAAGAAGAGATAGACAAGTTGCGCTGGAATGTCATAGGATTATCCGAAGTCCGAAGAGAGGGGGAGGACACGGTTATCCTCGAATCCGGCAATTTGTTCTATCACCGGGAGGGCGACCATCTGTCCCAAGAAGGTGTCGGATTTATCGTCCACAAGTTTCGTTAACAACGTTGTAAAGATTGGGAGTGTGTCGACGAGGGTTGCGTACCTTATACTCAGAATCACCAAACGGTATTCGCTGAAGGTCATACAGTTTTACGCACCAACCTCGGCACACCCCGATGAGGAGGTGGAGGAAATGTATGAGGATATCTCTAGAGCCATGCATTCCTCCAAAACCCAATATACGGTACCAATGGGAGACTTTAATGCAAAACAAGGCACAAGAGAGAACGGTGAGCTGATAGTAGGGAAATTTGGAATAGGGCAACGGAACCCAAGGGGCCAGCAGCTGGCCGACTTCATGGAGAAAGAGCAATTCTTTATGATGAACTCTTTCTTCCAGAAGCGGCCCCACAGGAAGTGGACCTGGTCGAGCCCCGACGGTTCCACAAAAAATGAGATTGACTTCATTATGACGACTAGACGACAACTGTTCAGTGATGTCTCAGTGATCGCGAGGGTGAAAACCGGCAGCGATCACCGAATGGTGAGAGGCACACCGAACCTAAACATTAAGTTGGAGAGGTCTAATGAAGTTAACGCTCCGTCCCCGTCGTGCTCTAAAAGTCCCGAAACCTTTCAGCTCGAGCTACAAAACCGTTTCCAGTACCTAGAAGATTGCAATGCAGTGGACTGCATTGACCTCAATAGTGTCTCCCTGGCATCGCTGAAGGGACGGAATCAAAGGCTTTCTCACAGTCCACATACGCCAGACATAGTGGCTAATTGTACTCCTCGGACTTCTATACAACTTGCCGAAGGGTATGTATGTGGTCTATGGTGCTAAAGCCTTTTCGGAAACCGGCTTGTTCGGGAGGCTGGAAGTAGTCAAGTCTGCGCGCGAGACGATTCGTAATGACTCTAAAACAGCACGTAGACGCGGATCAGAAGGGAAATCGGTCTGTAGTTCTCCAAGAGAGCGTTGTCACCTTTCTTGAAGAACAAGACCACCGCACTTCTGCTCCACGCCTCCGGTGTAATGCCGCCATGGAGGACGGAATTAAAAAGCTTCTGAAGGACTTCAAGTACCGGTTTTCCACCCGCTTTCAGAAGCTCCGCTGTAATTCCATCCTCGCCTGGGGCCTTGCCGTTTTTAAGGTGCTGGAGAGCCATTCTAATCTCGCTCAGACTGACGTCCGGGATATCTTCGGAATAGTGTCGGGTAAGACTCGCTCTTGGATCGTTACTCACACTTGCGTGTGGCTCCAACGATGACGTGTACAGCTGCCCATAGAACCTCTCAATCTCACTCAAAATCGCAGGTGCCCCGGAAACGATGTAGCCACATCGGTCTTCAGCCTTGACAGAAGGCTCTTTCTGGCAGACAGATCTCTGGCAAAGACTTTGGAGCCTTGGTTCCGCTCGATCGCTTCTTCAATATAAGTTGTATTGAAGTTGCGTAAGTCCCGCCGCATGCATTTGGAGATCTGTCTGTTCAGTTGCCTGTATGCTGTCAAATCTGTTGAAGAGTGTAGCTTCATCTCCCGTCTAACAGCCATGAGATTAAGAGTGATCGGAAAGTTTTTGGGTTCTTTTGCGGCGGCTCTTGCAGAACTTAGCTCCGACCGCATGGGCAGTTTCCACGAGCTTGTCATTCATATCTTCCACTTCATTGCAGTCTTCTAGGCACTGAAAACGGTTTTGTAGCTCGATCTGGAAGGTTTCGGGACTTTGGAACAGAGCACGAGGGGGACGGAGCGTTGACTTCATTAGACCTCTCCAACTTAACGTTTAGGTTTAGTCTGCCTCTGACTATTCGGTAATCGCTACCAGTTTTCACCCTCGCGATCACGGAGACATCACTGAACAGTTGTCGTCTGGTCGTCATAATGAAGTCAATCTCATTTTTTGTCGAACCGTCGGGGCTCGACCAAGTCCACTTCCTGTGGGGCTGCTTCTGGAAGAAAGAGTTCATCATAAAGAATTGCTCTTTCTCCATAAAGTCGGCCAGCTGCTGGCCCCTTGGGTTCCGTTGCCCTATTCCAAATTTCCCTACTTTCAGCTCACCGTTCTCTCTTGTGCCTAATTTTGCATTAAAGTCTCCCATTGTCACCGTATATTGGGTTTTGGAGGAATGCATGGCTCTAGATATATCTTTATACATTTCCTCCACCTCCTCATCGGGATGTGCCGAGGTTGATGCGTAAACCTGTATGACCTTCAGCGAATACCGTTTGGTGATTCTGAGTATAAGGTACGCAACTCTCGTCGACACACTCAATCTTTACAACGTTGTTAACGAGACTTGTGGACGATAAATCCGACACCTCCTTGGGCAGATGGTCGCCCTCCCGGTGATATAGCAAGTTGCCGGATTCGAGGATTACCGTGTCCTCCCCCTCTCTTCGGACTTCGGATAATCCTATAATATGCCAGCGTAACTTGTCTATCTCTTCTTCCAGCTCCACAATCTTCTCGTCAGTCCTCAGGGTGCGTGCGTTGTATGTTGCCAGGTCGAGTGGTTTTAGGTGGCAACCGAACCTCCACCGGAGATTCTTAGCATCCCCTGTCCCGTCGTTACCATGGTCGCCACCGTAGCCAGTAATAGCGGGGCCGCCGGGGACTGGGGGCCATCTCTTTGTTACATTCTTTCTTAGGGGGTATTTGTCATAGTTGCCACGCTTGACGAGCGGGTTGGCAACCGCAGTTTTTTTTATTGTATTTTGCTGTTATCAGGAAGATGCTGCTGCCCATCTCCTGCCTTTTTCCCTTTGTCGCCTTCTACGACACCTACGGGAAGATATGGGGTAGTGGATATTCTCAACCGCCACTACACAGCATTGCAACAATATTATCAAGTAATATGATGTTCACCCAGGTGAACACCAAAGGCGTGCAACTGCTACCGTGTACGTGACACTCCTAAACGGTACGCAAGCGTAGCCGACCGGTACTAACCGCAGATGCCGGGGGTAGGGGTAGGGGGGGGGGGGGACGACTCCGCTCTACTTCATATCCGTGCCTCATCGTTGCTTCGTCTAGTCGCCAAGTTGACTCAATATTAGATTAGTATTTATTACACATATGGTACTACTCTAAATGTGAAAGTTTGTTTGGATGTTTGTGGTTCAATCATGTTTTTTTTTCATAGGATGGGGTGACAAAGTAGCACACAGAATGGAATGCCTCTTTTCAAGTAAAAAGGGTCTCCGGTTCTCTATACCCACCATACGAAACACAGCAGTGTAAAGCTGCTATTTTACGCTGGTATTCTGTGAGATTGTGGTCCTTCCCCGGTCGAGCCGATACTACTAATGTAGTTGCAGCATGGCTCTACCACGTAAAAGTCAATCATGTAAAAACTAGTGAATGAAAAACTTGATAATATTATACCAAAGTACAGCCTTTTTAATCCATATTGCAATAAAAAAAAATCGCCGTTTTTTTTAATTAGAAACAAGCGAAGCCGCGGGTAAAATCAATTTTTGTATACTCAAAATATTATACTTTTGTGTTTATAGAAGAATTGGTGACTCGCCCATACCTGGATCTGGTGCATATGCTGACAATGAAGTTGGTGCAGCAACAGCTACTGGAGATGGAGATATAATGTTGAGATTTTTGCCTAGGTATATTTATTATGAATGTTATTTCAATGCATTTTTAGTGTACCAGTCATCTGCGTGAAACTAGTAGTTCATCTGTTCCCTACATTAGATAGTTTTAAATTAGATATTTAATAACACACACAAGACATTAAACCTAAAAATTTGATTTGGAAGCGAATGTTGCCAGCTTAAGCACAAGTGCAGTGCGGAAAGTCAGTTTCTCAGTAATTTACAGGATATATTTTTATATATTTTGAAAAAATATATTATCTGTTTTAGTTTTCTAGCAGTTGAAGAAATGCGCCGGGGAGCCACTCCACTAAATGCTGCAGAAACAGCTATAAAGAGGATAGCAAAACATTATTCAAATTTTATGGGGGCTGTTATAGCAGTTAACAAGAATGGAAACTATAGTGCTGCATGCCATGGTTTAGGGGACTTGCCATTTCCCTTTGTTGTATATGATAGCTCTCACAAAGAATATCTAATTCAGAAAGTGAAGTGTTCATGAAATATCATATGTAAACAATTTTATAAATTGAAATAAAGTAATTTATTGTTATATTTATATTGAATTATTTTTATTTACATTAGTATGTCGATGGAAAACAAAACATACTATAAGAAAATCCTGAAAACTGCATTTTTTAAATTTCAGAACCAATTTTAATAAAATGTCAGCAGGACTATTCACAATGCCTCGGAAAGATTTCTCTAGGAAGCGGGAATGTTTCGTTCGTCAAGTATTCGATCCGAATATCACACACTTTCGTATTCACATCTCCTCTCGTTTAGGATTCGACACGGAAAGTTTTTAGAATGTCAGTGGGAGTGCATTATAGATTGCCTATGCGCCGAAAGTGACCTCCATCCCTCACACCAATTTGTAGTGTTTATAAAGATAGATTGTCGAAAATAGCACTTCACTACATAAAAGGTTAATGTCTTTAAATATTTCATATTTTTAATACACATGCAGTAAATTAATCTAAATGTTCGATAAAAATGATATTAATTTTAATATACTTTACTAATGTGGTACATATTTTCATAATTGTTAATTAGTCTTTTTACTAACTAATTAATATTTCGTAAATGCTATTGTTACGAGCTTGGGGTTCGAGACAATTAAAAACTGCCGATTGAATTACCAAAATTAAACACCACAGCTAAAAGTTGTCGAAAATCGGTGCCGGAACATATCGGTTAATAATTTATTTAAATACTAGCTGTGCCCGCGGTGTAGCTCGCGTATACAGGTTTTACATAAAGAATTTGTCGTTTAGGTAAGAGAATATTAAACGATTTATTTCATTACTGTATCAAGTGGTAACTAAATAAATCATTATCATCAAAGTTCTAAGTCGTTTATGATAGAGCTTCTGTGTAAACGACGTTAGAAGTAGGCTTAGCCGGGGTGTATACAAAAAGGTTACGGGGGCTACTAACGCGGGAAAAAGCAACATAGAGTTGGCCATGTGCAAAACAGGCAGTACTGAGGTACACTCCTACAACGCGTAAAATTTGACCTTGCGCTTTATTTACGGTCATCGCATAACACACGCTCACTGTAACTGGGAACTGAACGCACTAAAAACCATAGACATAGTATATTATAGACTAAACATTCAGTGACGTCATCACCGTGTGAAAGGAATGCACGTATATAGTTAGACATAAGAGTAAGGGAGAAGCAAATCTATATTTCTTGTCTTTTTCTAGGTATGCGTTTTTGATTGTTTTCCCTCCTTTATTTGACATTAACGATGTCAAGCTCTTTTAAATAATATTGATATTATAAGCAAACACGCAATTAAATTTAGTGTTTTTTGTGGGTCTTAGTTATTAGGTGCACGGATCAAATGTTTTCTCTCCGTATGATCACGGAAAAGCTTCTGGCTGTTAACCAGAAGATTTTCTGTGCTTTTGTGGATCTTGAGAAAGCATTTGATAAGGTTGTAAGGAAGAAAATGTGGGAACTGTTGCCGGGGTATGGTGTGGATGGCCGATTGCTAAGGGCTGTGCAGTCTCTTTACTGTGACTGTAAAGCCTGTGTGCGGGTAGGGCATGACCTGTCACCCATGTTTAGCGTCCAAACGGGCGTAAAACAGGGTTGTGTCATGTCTTCCTGGCTGTTCATACTGTATCTCGACAGCTGTTTACAAAAGCTGAAAGATAGCTGTTTGGGTGTGAAATTGGGTGACATAAAAGTAAATTGTCTGCTGTATGCTGATGATGCAGTGCTTATTGCACCATCAGAGGCAGAACTGCAGGCATTAGTCACGTGTATGAAAGAGGAATGTGAAATTAAAGGTCTCCGTTTGAATGCTAATAAAACTAAGGTTCTGGTATTTGAAAGGGACGAAGAGAGAACGAAGTGTGAAATATGGGTAAATCAGGAATGTCTAGAACAAGTAAATGAAATTGTATACTTGGGGAGTGCTTTTAGCCGGGATGGAAGATGTGATTTAGATGTGGACAGGCGTGTTGCTGCCGGGAACAAAGTCAATGGTGCCCTGACTGCGTTAGTCAAAAGGCAAGGCGTAGTGAATAGTGCACGCCTTGCAATACATAACGCAGTGTTGGTACCGACTTTGTTATATGGCAGCGAAACCTGGATATGCCAGAAGAAAAATTGATAAGGGCGTGCTTCGGTGGTTTGGGCACGTTGAGCGAATGAGTGAAGACCGAATGGTGAAGAAAATATATAGCGCGAAAGTTAATATTAAAAGGTGTCGAGGTAGACCGAGACCATGTGAGCAAATTGCTCGAAGAGGGGAGGGTCAAGAGTACTCGGATACCTAGACGTGCATGTATGAAGAAGATAATGAATCTGAAAGAAGCGAAAGAGATATGTAAGGATCGTGACACTTGGCGATCTGTTCTCTCTGGCTACCCCGTCAGGGATTGTGCGTGAAGATAAGTAAGTAAGTAAGTAAGGTAAGGTGAAAAAGATGGTAAGTTGTAGCATTTTAGGATGCAACAGCATCAGTCAACGAAAAATTGATAATATTACCTTTCATCGGTAAGTTTGTTTTGTGCTTACATTTGCTACTTGTACTGATTAATATCTATTGTTTTCAATATAAAGTGTAACATTTCATGTGTTAAATGAACTTTGTGATGTATTTTGTCAAATATTTAGACTCCCAAATTGTAAATTCTTCATGATAATGCTCCTTAATTTGAACGGTCATTCGAAAGCTTAAAGTCATAACAAACGTATACTTTTTGATTTGGTAGGATTATAGAAACGTTAGGGATATCAGCGAGTACAATAATGTTTTCGCATTGTTCAATAATAATTGTTATTGTGATTAGTAGTTATGTCCATAAATATGAATAACATAATGTTATACATATACATACACTTTTATGTTCAGCTTTAAAGGAAACTCCTTATTGCCCTACAACTATTCAATAATTTTCCATATTACATAGACGTCACAAATAATATGTAAGTATCAACCTGAAAACATGTTTGGATTCAAGTACATAAACATTGGGCAAAGTATATTTAATTTCACAAAATATGTATTGCCTGAAATCAGATGCACAAAACTTTATTGCATTCCATTAATTCTATTATACATTAGCAACAATTACATTACAATATTTATTAAAAAAATAAATAAATATGTCATACTAATATAAAAATAAATATAAACATAGATAAAATAATAAATAAATAGATAAGTCTTAATCGTAAGGTACACAATAACACAACAACATAAGATAATATTCTCAATTAATGATGTAGAAAAAATTTGATGATAATATACTCACCGTTACCATTAGTCAGTATCAAAAGTCAAAAGTTATAGGTTTTGTGATAGTTGCCTAGCTTGGAGAATTGGCAACTGCAGTTATTTGGAGACAAACTGTGTGGGAGGTCTATGTTCAGCTGTGGAGGACATAACTATGTTAGGCTGTAAATGTATTAATTAACAATATCTAAAGCTTAATATGTACATAATTTTTTAAATGTTTGGTATGAGTAATTGTATCATTACATTTACATATACTTGCTATTTAATTAAATCAATTGATATTGTATTAATTGTTATAGGTATTGTATTTATGCACAGATACCCATACTTGATTTTTTTTTGTTAAATGCCTTGATATAAAAGTGTACTATATATTACGACGCTACTAGCACAAAGTGTGATATTGCTAATAAATAACAATATGTTATGTATGTACTTAAATATTACTTAATTAAGAATAAAAATATTAAATAATAAACAAACATTTCCTCGTGTCGATCAATAATGTTTTAACATACCATTCCATCACAAGTTCAGTGCTGAACACAGACCTCCCGAAAGGAAAGGCTGTCCACTTAGGTTTTGTAGTACAAAACACGGTAAAGAGGCTACTCCCTCGATTTCTTGCATGTTTTGCTAAGTTAGTGTCTTGTGTGCGGCAAGTTGTGGCGTACAAGAGAATTTGTCTGTATACGGAATGATATTACCCCGCGTCGTAAGCAATAATGCAAGATGGGGATGGGGCAGCAGCACTTTCCCGATGAAAACTTAAAATAATAAATAACTGCGGTGGCCAACCAGCATAACGCATATTTTCACGCAGGCGTTGCAACTATGGTAAAAGTCATCCTATGAGTATATCTAGGGAAGGCCTTTTTAGGTGACTTACTTATGGTTAGGTGGCTTAATCATGTTACCTAATGGTTAAGGTGGTAAAATGTTTTAGTTAATATACGTTGTAAAGCATCAACAAAGGGTTTGTTTTTGTAATATGTTAGTATATAAAATAAAAACGAATGTTTTATAATATTCTATTTTAATTTACCATGCAGTGTAAGATTATCTGCTACCTCATATCATTCCATGGGTGGTGTATGAGGCGACATAGGGAAACATCAAAGAAGATAAACAGCAGCATCTTCCTGATAACAGCTAAATAAAAAAAAACAGTGGTTGACAACCCGCTTTCCAAGCGTTGAAACTAAGTCAAATAACTATAATCATGTTTATGTTCAACAGTAGACTTTTGATAGACTGTAAAGATATATATTCTATTCAAATGAATGTATATAGAAATATAAAAAGGAAAAAGAACTAAATTTTGTGTACTTACACAACATTAAGAAATATTAACAATGTTACATTAAATAAAACAAATTAAAACACATATATTAAATATAATTCAATAACATTAAAATAAACATACGATTATTTATAAATTTTTCATCACATTAATAAACAAATTTAACAAAATTTTTGTCTTCTTTCTAGAGCATTCCCTGTAATTCTTGGTTTGAGCAGCTTTAGAATTTCTCAAAAATATGCATTTGTAAACTTGATTTATACTTTACATGGCAGAAATTCTTGGGTGCTGGTTGTTAGAATCGGATTAAAAGGGTATATATATATATATATATATATATATATATATATATATATATATATATATATATAATACATTTTAATGGTATAAATAATAAGGTACAACTCCTAAATTATACTTAGATAGGTAATACTTATC